CCCCCCCCCCCAAAAAAAAAAAGGAAGCGAGCTTGCCAGGGGTTCTGGTATAGAATTCTAGCCATGGACCACCATCTTTACGTAGCCTGTTTAAGAAGAGGCTTCGGCAACCCCGGCCCTAGAAAAAAAAAAAGACCGAATGGCTACTACCTATCTGACGCTTCCAAAATCCTCTCGTTGCTGTTTTGCCTAAAGAGCGTACAACATGTGCACAACATGAAGGTTGCCTGTTTGGGCCTCGCGCTTTGAACTGTTGAGTGTTACCGTGCGAGGAGTCAAGGTCTACGGGGACTGCCGGGTTAAGCTTTTTCTTCGGATCAACAATACAGAGAAAGTCCCACAATTCCAAAAGCAAAAAATGTACATCAAAGTTCTGCAAAGTGTCTGTATGTCCAGAGAGGCATCTAGCCCTGTAGGATCTTCCAAGCTCTCGCCACTATGCAGCAGCTGCTGCAAGCAAAGTGGGAAGCCATGCAGGCTACGTAGTAAAGTCTTCAGGCCTATCACGTCATAGATGCCCTGCTCCTGGATGTTGATGGCGGGCAGCTCTTGCCCTGAAACTCTCCAGACGCGGAGCATGCCAGAGGGAATGCATGTGAGTCGCACACAACCCCATCCAACAGCTCAGACAAAGCTAGGCGATCACGCAAGAAGTGTCAGGGGCTTAAGCACGCTTGCTTGTAAGATACGAACATCGACCTGATTCAGCTTGGCAGCCTGTTATTTTTTGTATACATACTTATCTAGCATGTCCTCCTATACACCTTTGCAGAGACCCCCATATATCCTATTGAGCACCTTCCACCTCCAATTCTATGCAAGCCCATATGTATATGTATATATATATATAAATACATGTGTATATTCCTTTTTGCATTGGCGAGCGTAGGGCATAGTACGGGGCGGGAAGCAGTGACTCAAGCCGTGGGTCGGAAGCATTTTCATACATTGGAGTAGGGTCAGGCTGACTTGCAAGATTATATTCCTCTTAGAACATACCATACCTAAAAGGAGCAAAAAATCTTACACGATATTGGGGACCCATACGGTGGCACCCCCAAAATTAAGAACTCCTTGCTGTCCTATGAATCTGAGAGCTGAAGCTGCGGCTTAGCGGTTTAGGGTTTTAGGATTTAGGGTTTAGGGTCACGCTTGAAGGTCTGGGATTCACGTTTTAGGCTGTTGCAAGATCGAGGGATCATGGCAGTTTGATAGTCTCCTTGAAATAGAGGGACCCCAATATAGACCCCAAAATGCTATCTTCCTTATTCTGAGAACCATCCCAAAAAGGTTGAAACCCCATTTCGGCTTTAGGATTACAGGCGAAAGCTCCAATGAGACCAATGCTCGAAGCCACAGTCCTGAGTAATAACCCTAATCATGGTAACAATAGTAACACTAGAATAGCAACAAGAGCAATAACAGAAATAACAGTACGAATAGTAACAATAGCAATAATAGTAATAACAGTAATAGTCGGAATATTCATTATAGTAAGAATGATAATAGTAATAATAGAATACAAGTAGTAAACACCTATTTCAACTGGGTATTCACGCTTTCCCAGTAATCCTCCTAGACCTATATTAAACAGGCATGTGTAAGAGTTCTGTGAATCGCGTGTTTTCATATCCACACCCAAACAAGGATGGGTTTAGGTTTTAAGGATTTAGGGGCTAAGAGCTTAGGTGGACTTCCGCCACGGCACCACTACAACTACTGCTGCTATACTGCTACTGCTACTACGACTACTATAATAACACTAATCATACTATCTTTAAGCATCTGTCACCACTTATGCCTCAAGCCCAACCAACATTGCCCAAGCAACGGCTCCATGTCTGTTTTGGCAAGGGTATTGGTTTAGGACCTCTGGATACGTTTACTAAACAAGGACCTTAGCCGTGAAATTGGCGCAGTAACTTTGTCACAGGGTCAACTTTCGAAAGCCTAAACCCCTAACCCCTAAACCCCCAAACCCTAAACCTCCAACCCTAAACCCCAAGCCCTAAACCCTCAACCCCAAAACCCCCAAAGCCTAAACTAGCTACGTTTGTTGAGGCCTGTTGAGCCCTTCTTCACTGCCTTATACCGCGTCGCGCTTCTCTCTACAAAAGGAACCTCACAGTTACAGTTATCTACACAAGCCCCTACCTTAACCTAAACCCCAGCTCCCCATGCCAACTTTCTTGAGACCCGTCTCTGATGGCCTAAACCCTAAACCAATTTTTTGGCATGACTTTGAGGTTCTGAAGTCCCAAGAAACCTCACACTCGAAATCACTTTGGTATCCCTACTCTCCAACCTCTCAAGCCCCTAAAAAATCGCAACTTCTGAACCCTGGACCCCAAACTCCTAACCCTAGATGAGCATATAGGGGGATTATATAGAGGGGTTATGAAGGGGGATACTGGGAGTTTAGACCATACCTCAAATCCCTCAATCTCCAATCTGTTCAATCTGGGCTCCTCAACCCTGAGCCCCTCAATCCAAAACCCTCAGCCCCAAACCCCTAAACCCTAGGCCCTTAAGCCCTAGACTCTAGACCCTAAATCCTAAACCCTAGAGCTTCAATCCTAAACCCTAAACCCTCAACCCTTAGCCCTCAACCGAAAACCCTAAACCCCCTACATCCCATGTGAACAATTAACCCTCAAACCCTGAAGCCCATGGCTTCCTTGATTTAATCCCTATATGAGCTACACTCTAAACTCCCTAAAGGGGGGTTATATAGGGGATTCTACAGGGGATTACTATAGGGGTTATTAAGGGGGATACTAGGAGTTTAGATTATAGCTCATATAGCCCTACCTAACCCCAGTGTCCATTACATCTTCCATTTTCTTCTCCATGTTGTTGTCCATTCTTGGGGTAATATCCCTATAATTTAGCCCCTTTATACCCCTTAGAAGGGACCCTGGGTTTCCATTTCATTTTCCATTTTTTCCGTTTGATCCTCCATTCTTGGGGCTACTAAAAGCCCTAAACCCTAAACC